CTGCTGCAGAATACATACCTTGATAACCATAAGGTAAGGAAAGCAATGTTTTCCACATCCGACACACTATCTCCTTCAGTGTGGTAGTGGCTAATGAACTTTGAAAAGCTGGCTAATTTGACTTCGAAGTCAATAATGCTCGAATGCTCTTCATTGTCAGGAATGTATGTTTCTCCTACTGGTGAAAAACCAGTAATGGCTGCTATGTCAAAAAAGGTGGGTGTAATCATTCCCCCAGGGAGGTGGAAGGTGTTGTAGGTACTGTCCCAGAAATATAAGGACGCAAATAATAATGGATGGCTATAGGTGAAGCCTAGTTTCGATAATTTAATCAAGTTGTAAATGCCTAATTCCTCCCATTGCTGGGATTTCTTGGCTTCTACTTTGGTAAACCAGTTGTGGTAAGCTGTGTCAGAGGTGGGACAGGATCGAAATGGTTTAAAGTTACTCTTTACATAATCTAGCACAAAAGGGTCCTTTGGAGGAATGATTGGAGTTTACACGGTTGTCGAATCAGAAGACTCACCTGTCTTAGGGGTATACATTTTATTAAACAAAGGTTTAAAATTATAACAAACAGGGAAAAAATTTCTGGTATCTTTTAAGATTTCAAAGACTGTAAGAGGGCCCATTAGAGCAAACCTCTTGCCAGCGGCGTTAGTGGGAATTAGTACCTGAGATGCGTAGAGCATTTCCTTCTCTTTTGAAATCATCTGAGGGATAAGCACAGATTGACCTTGATAGGTGACAACCTTGCTTTCCATTATGGTTCCTGTGTTCTTTCCTTTCTTTTTGGAAGCTTTTTTCAGTTGGGATGATGTTGAAGAAGACATTGTTGGAGGTTGTTGGAAGTTTTTAGGGTTTCGGTGAGAAGAGAGGAAGAAAAGATTCAGAATGTGAAAAGAAAAATAAAAGACTAAGTTGATGGGTTTTTATAGTGTGGAAGTTTAAACACCCACTGAGTAAGATTAGGATACGTGGGAGTCGTGGATTGGATTGAGAAGGAGGTGGCGTAAAAGTTGATATTGGTAATAGGCGTGATTAAATAATAATCATTGTTCTGTAACTGCACCGTGCTGTGAAGTACTAGTTCAAGACGGTTAAGGAATTTGAAAGGCGTCGTGATTGACGTGACTGGAGTCATATGCAATAAATGTTACGATTATCCAAAGGTCGCATCAAAATCTTGCATATATGTTTAAAATAAGTATTTCTCAAAGGAATCGAAATACATATTTTAAAGGGGCATTTTGTTGGCTGAAGATTTTGATGATACAGTTCGAAACGAAGCAAGTTGGGTGTTTCGTTGGAATAAAAGCAAGATGTCATGTTTCAAAATGGTAGAAGCAGTACTTCGAATGGGAATGTCAAAGCTCATAGCTTCGAGTGACAGTTATAGAGATATATTCAAAAGAAGTCTCGAAGTGGTAACAAGGCTGTGTCCAAGAAATGAGTTCGAAGCGAAGAGTACCAAAACATTTGAAATTCAAACGCAAGCGGGATGTTCGAAATTTAAATATATGCGCTGGAGCATTCGAAGACGCGTGAAAGCTAGAGAGGGGCATTGCTTTGCATGTTCTGAACGTGGCAGAATCTTATAGCAAGACCGTTATGGTCGAAGTAGTATAAATAGAAGTCTTAGCGTTAGGATTTCGTGTGTCATATCTATTGTACAAAAATTCAGTAAACATTCAAAATACCACATGGCTAGGGAAACGAATGCTCGAACAATGTACGTATGATAACACCAAATGTTTATGATTAAGCAAAACTCTTTATCATGTCCAGTTTATCCTCTATCTTCATGTCAATATCATTCAAAAGCCTTTACATTAAAATCTTTTTCATTCAAAGTCTTTTACTGATGTCTTGCATTTAAATGTTTTCTTTCCCTTTCAAATCCTTTACTTTCAGAAACTTTTGTATATTTCATGCCTTTATCTTCATGCTTTTATCATTCGAATACTTTTTCATTCAAAGTCATTTTACTGATTTCTTGCATTTAAACGCTTTCTTTCTATTTCGAACCTTTTACATTTCAGAAACGCTTTTACATTACATGCTTTTATACTTCGAAGTTATTTACTTGTCTTTTTGCAGTTTTACATGTCTTTACAATTGAACCTTTATTCATGCAATTTAATTTCGCGTGTATTTACTTGATCATGTCATTAGATCTTTAATAGAGTAATCGAAGTAAGTTGAAACACCTACACAACAATCTAAACACCAAACATGAATATCAGTTCTACAATGAGAATTATCCAAACGACCAATACACCATAGGATCAATCTAGTCGATCCTGCAAGTTACCAGAGAGATTAAATAACAATCATTAAGATTATTTGATAGTTTGGAGGACTAGCAGTTGTTTACCAAAAATAACTGTAAACAGCACTGAACTGCTAATTTTCACTCGCTAACTTAGCATAATTCAGAACTTCTGATGATTCACTCACTGTTCTAATACAACACATAACTTCTGAGTTCTCCTTACATGTCAAATACACTGAACTTCTGATTTTCATACGCTGATAACATGCTGAACTGATGATTGTTCACTCACTATTTTGACACACACTGAACTCCTGATGTTCACTCACTGTCTTAGCACATATTGAACCTCTGAGTTCTCTTCACTGTTTTAATATACAGAACTTCTAAGATTTTCTCATTGTTCTAACATTCAGAAGTTCAGCACATAGCAACCCAGAACTTCTGTGTTTTCCCTCTAATGTGGTTTGCAGGACCTCATAGTTTACCAACTCAGAACTTCTGATACCCACTGATGCTTCCTTTTGACTCACAGCGCTCCTGGCTTCAGAACTTATGATCCTAGTTGTTCTTCTTGCAGCAACACGCTGTTTCTATCTTGCATTTATTTTCCTTTTCATCATTTTTTTATTATTAACATAAAAAACATAAAAATATTTTCCTTAAGACAAAAACATTTTCTAAACAAGTTCATTTCTTTCTTATATTATACATTTCAATATGGTTGTAATAGATAATTAGGACTTCAATTCCTTGCAATCCCCATTTGTAAATTTGTATCCCCCATCCCTAAAATATTGTAATAGCGTAGGACTTTACATTTCTGCAATTTATCACTTTTGAATGTAAATGCTAGTAATTAGAGTGTGTATGGCAAGACATGAAATTGACAAATAGATCACCCTTAGCAAGACTAAAATACATTTGTTGTGATGAATTTCGCTGCTCCGTCGGTGTCGTCGGTGAATTCTCGTGCGGTGTTGAGGCTTAGTTTTGTGAGCGCGTGTTTGTACTGAGAGATTGCTTGCGGGTGTGAGATTAATCTTGTTAGATATTCTTTTCGGATCACTAGGAGAGCGAGGAGACAATGGTGAATCGGGAGTCGAATTTATCCGACGTTGTAGAAGTGGTGACATAGTAAGTGATCGTAATTTCGATAGATCGAGCCTCTGAGGGAATTTTTCCACTGGGAGAACGCGCGATCGGAGATAAAGCTCAACCACTTGGAACACAATTTCGAATTGATCACACGGAATGGAAATGCTTCGCAGTTTGGATAGGCTTTTCCGGCGGGAGAGAATACATATATTTTTGTTGAGAATTTTCCTTAGTTTTTTATGGTTTTTGTGTAGGCATAGTTGTGTGGTTCGAGAAAATTCTACCGTTTTCAACAGACGCCATCAACTGATCCTACACGGAACAAATTTGATAATCTCTCCGATATTGACTGGAAGAGGTCACACTCTTAGCCTCATTGACAAGGGTCAATCAAGTCATTCTATGAAGGATTTGGGCGTTTATGTGTTTCTCTGTAAAGTTATGGACCTTTTTCCCTTGATCTTAAGTGCCCTTTTATAACCTCTTCAGGGATCAAGGAACATTATGGAGATCATCAAGTGTCTTGATGGTTCATCAAAGGTGTGTTCCCTTGTCTATTGAAGAGCCATAAAAGAGAATATATTTGATGTGAGTGTTTTCTGCGATATCGGTCGACTCATTCAAGCCACTGGATTAGACGGAGATTCCGCGCATCCCAAATTTAATTTGGAATCAATGTCTTTTGGAGTACCTGCCCAACTAAAACAACTTGGATGTACAATAATCATAATAGTTAGAAATTAAAACTCAAACTATTTCTTTCAGTAACATTGAAGAAAATAGAACCTAGTTGTTAGAATACATAAATTTGATCATGGCCAATTGAACCGACTTGATTACATGAATTATTTTATTTTATTTAAATACAATAAAATAATAGGACAAAACTTAGATACAATTCTTTACGCGTGATTCTTACGATTTGACATGATTTTATAAGGTTTCGAATGACTCCAAAGATTAAAAACATTAAGTTTTGAATTTATATGGACAATATCTACAAAAACTTAGAAAAACAAAAAATTAAAAAAATACTATAGTTTTAAGGATAAATTATATTTAAACAAATAATTTTATCAACCCCCTCCATATTTTAAAACTAGTCAAAATAAATTTTAAAAAAGCATGTGTTCCAAAAATCTTTTGTGTTTTATGAAGATAAATCATAAATTTGTCTTAATACTATCAACATTCATATCATGTGTTTCGAACTTGGTCATAAGTCCTTATGGTCAAATAGGTGTATGAGATGTACTTAAAAAATTAGTATTAATGTATTTATTATATATAATCTAATAACCATGACTACGTACACAAGCTTGGTCATAAGTCTTTATCCTTCTCACAACGACTCGCTCAAAACCAAGCTTTCTAACCAAAGGCTAAAAATGACTCTCAACATTAGTGTCTCATATTAACCCATCATCTAATACTCAAACATCACCTCCATTCTCTCTCCCTTGAAATCCTCTCTTAAAAAATAGTAATATTAATATGAAGAGAGAAAAGTAATCACCACTTTACTTACCTTCTTTCACACCACTTCTTTTGTTCACAAAACTCCTCTCATCCATGCAGACAAGAATGTGTGGAAAGTCCAGAATAACCCATAATCGCTGTCTCAGCAATGTCTTCATCGGAACTTGATTACAAAATCCCTCCGGCTCCAACATACAGGACACCACCGGCACTAGTGACTCTCGTCCTCACAGTCCTCATCTTAGCCTTTGTGACTTTCAGCATTGTCTATTTTTGTAAGCATTATTTTCAAGGGCTTTTCCATAATTGGGCCTTACAACGCACAGCCTCAGGTTCTGTCGTTCGTGTTTCACCTGAGAGATCACCACCTAGAGGACTCGACAATACCCTTCTAGACAAATTCCCTACTTTTGTTTACTCCTCCGTGAAAGATCTCCGCGAGGAAAAAAGTTACAGCTTGGAATGTGCTATTTGTTTGATGGAGTTCGAGGATGATAGCATGCTGCGTCATCTAACCATCTGCTGTCATGTTTTCCATCAAGAATGTATTGATTTGTGGCTCGAATCTCACAAGACATGTCCCGTTTGTCGAACCGACCTTGATTTAAATCCAAACCAAACGTCGAAACAAGGGGACAACGATAACGAAAACAACAATGATAACAACAATGTTGATGCAGACGAGGCTATGGTGCAGTTCCCATGCGATGCTATACGTATTGATGTTAGAGAAGAGGAAAGAAACAATGTTGGTGAGATCACTGGAGGTCAAATAAATGCCACTAACCAACATGATTGTGAGAATATGAGCATGCCACGAGGAGAAGAACCTAGATTTTCAAAGTCACATTCAACGGGGCATTCTATAGTAATGATTAGAGGTGAAGAAAAAGATAATGCGAAATACACATTGAGATTGCCTGAACATGTTATAAGGGGAGGGCACAACACCTCCAAGAGTTGTACAAATTACAATGAAATGACATTGACAGAGCCAACACCTTGTAGTAATTGTGGTTTTGTTAAACCACTAACTGGCTCCTCTTCACTTGCTCATTCTCAAGACCATTGAAGCATGTCTTTTATCATTTAAGCTCATCTTTTTCCATCTTTTACTCTACTTCCTTGTTGTTTAAATTTCACTTCTATAGGTTCAGACTTTAGACATAGACTCATAGAAGATAGAGGCACCAAGCTTTTTATAGGCGTAAGCAATTACTTACATGTGGTTACATATAGTTTCTTAATCAAGAGTTTTAAAATTTAAGAAATACATAAAACAACTTGATTGATCGATTAAATGTCTCGAATAATTTATAATATATGATATCCATATAGAAAATTGTCATATTAATAAATCGTGCTTCGTAAAAATGAAGTCTCATCTAATTATTTACGCAATTAATGTTCACTCTATTTTATGATACATGACAATCCATATTTATTTTGTACTTTTTGTTTCTTGCCATATTACATTGACTCTATCCCTTGTCCGCAACTTTCCTAGGTCATAGTTTCACAATTTCGATCATCTTCGTTTAATGAGAATATTAATATATAAAATAATCACAAAACTCAATTATCCGATTCTATTGTGTTTTAATCAATTTTAGATATAGACTGCCACGATTAACTCCAGTAGACTTGAAAAAGATTCGGTTGATTCATGTTCATTTGTGTGTATACTCACTTGATTTGCTATCGGTTTAGAATTGACACTTTAATTATTATTTTAAATTATTTTATGTGTAAATAAATGCATCCATGCAATGCATTATTGATGGTTATTTTATATGTGCAAGTACACCACTCAAAATAGCGGCAAGAGATGAGAAAAATATCATTCATACAAAAATTATATTAAACACTTTGAAACTTCATACAAGAATATGTAAAAAGGAATATGAGCAATAGTAACAAAATAATAGTGTATGTTACATGGTTAGAAATAAGGAAATCATAGAAATATGACAAAGAGTTCAAATGAACTGAGAAATTATATTGGAGAATGTTCTCTTTTAATGAATTGATCTAATGTTAGCATATGACGTGTGGTATATAGTGATAATTGAGGTCAAAATTAAACCTTGTAGAATATATCTACAACATCAAAATATATAATAAGTAACTATAGAACTTATGTCTAAGTCTCACAATAACACTAATACATTTCATGTAAAATTTATGTTGAACCCTTCGACCCTAATCTTTTATATCTAAAACGATTAAATAAACAATGTATACCTATTCTATACATTTCCATATTAGTTTATGTAATCCATTTGTTAAATGTTACAGCAAACTAATAAACAATTATCTAATTCTAAAATGATCAAACTGATAGATAAATTTATGAAAAGAAACAAGAACTAAAAATATTAGAACAAGACATTCATTAGAATTTAAAAGATTACTAATTTTATTGAACTTCACATTTTCCGATAAATGAGGTTTATATAGTAAAAAGCAAAGTAGATACAATAAGTAAATGTTCTAAGTCTCACATCTTTAAACAATGAGAATATAAGTGCTAAACTTAAGAAAAATACTTAAATCATTTACACATTGTAAACATTAAATAACTCTGGATAACACGCTTCCTAATTGTTGGTGCACAAAAAAGAAATGAAAGACAAAAAGAATATGAATTTTTTTTATTAATAACCAAGTATTAAAATAATATTTCGCAAATAACCGGGTTTCAGAAAAAATTACGCAAATAATCATGTTTGAGATGGCTCCACAAAGGAGGAGCCATCTCAAATGGCGCATGCTCCTCTTTTTTTAAGGGAGGCGCCATCTCACTTGGCGCCTAAGTGCTTAGGGCAAGCCCTAAGTCAAGTGAGATGGCGCCTATGTAGAAAATTAGGTCAAAAAAAAATTTTTTTTTTCTTTCCTGCGCGTTGCGTATTAGACAGAGATAAACAAAATGGATTTTTTATTTAAAAAAAAATAATTACATTCAACTGTTTTACATTTAAAGAACAGTAAAAAAATGGATACAAAAAATACTGGGAAAAAAAAAGATACATCAGTGATCCCCAGGAACCCGGTAATGACCCCCAGTTCCGCATCTCCGTCCTCGCCTTTCTCTTGCTGGGTGCCGTCTCGTTTCCTGCTGCGGCAAGGTCGATGGCCCAGCGAAGTCAATGCGATCCGAATCCATAAAATCAGTAAGATCTCCATATCTCGAAGATCCGCTCTGGTACAGTCGGTTACCCATATCCTCGAAGTTTGGTCGTGTTGGCGGTGGGTGGGGTTCCATGGTTGGTCGGTAGCATTGGTCGTCTGAGTAGGGGGGGTAGAAAGGAAATTGATCTTGGGGTGTTTGGTATTGTGGATGTTGGGTTGTTTGGTGATAAGGTGGTTGATGGTAGGTTTGGTCGGCTTGGTCATAATCTTCTGACATTCCCATATCAGGACTAAGGCTGGATGTTGAGGGCGCCATATTGGGATATGTGGAAGACTGAAATTGTGTATGGGGTATGTGGGTTTGCTGGTATTGGGGTTGCTATTGTGGTTGGGTTTGAGGCATATCCGGGTATTGGTAGTTTGGAGGTGATTGTGGTTGGTAGTACGACATTTGATTGTAGTTGTGTTGTGGTGGGGAATGTGGTTGTGTTTTTGTTGGTCTGTTTCTTCTTGGGGGTTGGTTTGAGGTTGATGGATTTTGGGTTTGTTGGTGGGGAATCGAGGGTTGTGCCCATTGTGTGCGTGGGTCAACCAAGTACCTCGGATGAGACACGTGCATATCTGGGTTACTAACCGACCTGTACCACGACATATATTGATCAGTGTGTCGCATGTTACCTTGAGTAAGGAAAACCGGGGATTGCAAGATGTAGCGGTGACGCCTTTGCCACATTTTACACCATTCTGGAGCAAAGTCTTTCCAGTTGGTAAGACCCCACTGGGCGTCGACCCTTTTTAGATGCCAGGGGGACAAATCTGTTGGATCACTTGGTATCTCTTGGATCATTCCGAACTGCATCTTCACACGGTCGCTGTGGTGCATCTCCACAATGTTGAACCGAATGAGTGCAGTCTTTGCAGTCCAAGTTGCTGCATCCTCTGGATTTGAAGAATGGCCCAAACCCAAATATGGTCTCCAGACGAACTGCGATAAAATTTAAATCAGGTAAGCGCAAAAGTAATGTATAAATAATTAAAATGAACAAAAGTTAAAAGTTACGACGTACGTCATCTGGGCCTAAGTGATCCAACAGATTCCGGTAGAGTGCGACATTGAATCTGGGATTCTTGCCGTAATCCATACCCCTCACGCAGTACCTAAAGGAAATGAGAAACATGTTATTTTTAGCATATATTTTGGAAAGAGCAGAATAGTTATAAATGCTATAACTTAATGACTTACTTTGTTGCGTACGGGAATCCAAAAGTGTTGTTGTTGATGGGGTTTAAGGACTCCATCCTCCACCAACCCCAGGCTTGTAGTAAAAATGCGCACCCATAAAATGTACATTTTTCCTTGACTGCGTTTTTGCACAAGGAACTGTACAGGTGGGCTAATACTGCAGAACCCCAACTATATTTTCTAGTTTTATCAAAATTTGTTAGTAAATGTAAGTACATGAAATTTACACTATTTCCCGTACTTTCGGGAAATAAAAATGTACCAAAAAGTATCATAATATAAGTTCTGGCTTTTACTACTCGGTCATTCTCTGAGGAATTTTCATTTAATTCCATACTAGCATAATGCCGTTTCAGGTCAGTGAGTAGTATTCCCTGCCCTCTTGCTCCACCACCTTCTACCATGTCCCTACCCAACAGTTCTTCACACTGTGAGTTGGATTGTTGAACCGACCCATTCACCGCCTTACCGTCGATAGGGAGGCCCAGTAGCATGTACACATCTTCGAGAGTGATGGTACATTCACCTATTGGTAGGTGAAATGTATGGGTCTCCGGTCTCCACCTCTCCAACATTGCAAGAATGAATTTTGAGTCAATGGTGCAGTTGGAGATCTTTATCACGTGTCCAAAACCTGCATATTCCAGATAAGGGACGATAAATGGGTCGGGAGCCAGGTATTTGTGCGAACGGATTCTGAATCTTTGTGTATCCTGAGATCATAATTAAACAAGAGTAAGATTAATTAAGATGAACAACACGTTATTTGAAGTATGAAAAATGTATAACCAAAGAAGAGACTTACAAATGCAGCAATGTTTTCCCTTGTGCCTCTGTGAGTATCTCCCATTGTTAGAAGAGTCATTGTTCAGAATGCTTGAGAGAATGAAAGACTTAGGAAGAAATAGAGAGTATGATAGACTTAAGAAATATTTCGTAGCAGAGAGTGAGAGTTGTGTGGGTGTGAGAGATGTTTCATAAGGTATGTATTTATAGGCAAATAAGATTGATGTAGTGGTTGCATGCCTGCGATGTGTCACATTTGCATGCTTAGGGTGTTACACATATGCATGCATACATTTACAAAAAATGTAAGGTGTCACTCTTGCAGGCTAGGTGGCAGCCCATGCATGTATCACGATTGGACAGTAAGGGAGGCGTCATCTCACTTGGCGAAAGAGTACAAAAATGAATGGTGTCGCCACCCCATTTGGCGAATAAGAGGTGTCACGTTTTACAGCATTGGCTCAGGCTACGTGACAGCCTTTGGGATTCCTTTCTTTGTTGCATGCAAGGCCATTGGAGTTGATGGGTGGAGTCTTACACAAAACATTTATGTGTGCAGAATAGGGCCAGGCTAGGTGGCAGGCTAGGTGGCTGCATAAGCCCATGCATGTATCACGATTGGACAGTAAGGGAGGCGCCACCTCACTTGGCGAAAGAGTACAAAAATGAATGGTGTCGCCACCCCATTTGGCGAATAAGAGGTGTCACTTTTTACAGCATTGGCTCAGGCTACGTGACAGCCTTTGGGATTCCTTTCTTTGTTGCATGCAAGGCCATTGGAGTTGATGGGTGGAGTCTTACACAAAACATTTATGTGTGCAGAATAGGGCCAGGCTAGGTGGCAGGCTAGGTGGCTGCATAAGCCCATGCATGTATCACGATTGGACAGTAAGGGAGGCGCCACCTCACTT